CTGCATGGAGAGCCACTGCAGCCTGTGGGGTGAGCAGGGCCAGACTGGAGCTGTGCCCTTCCAGCACCGGGTGCAGAGGTGGTGGAGAGTGGATGCTGAACTCCTTGAATTCCCTCCTCCACAGCCACGGCTGCCCTGAGAGCCAGTCTGGTCCTTTTGAGAAAACTGCCGTGCTCCTCAGTGGGAATTTCTGTATTTAAATAACCGTCTTGCAATTTCTCTAATCCTTCTGTCCAGGCCTCAGCAGTGACCAGGAGTGTGCTTGATCCCTGCCCAGCCACCCGGCCCTTTCATCCTTTWATTCAGGTTAATGCTCCAAAGAAGTCCTGTACTTATCCCCATTAYGCAACCACAGTCTGGAGGCATTTCAGGGCTGGCATACCTTATTTTAGCATCAACTCCTCTTAAAACTATTAAGTTCCTGATGCTGTTTGCATCACGTTGATTTATTTTATTAATCAAAGAAAGATAATTTCTCAAGACTCTAAGATGTAAAAATCTGTGTCATAAGGCTGTAGCTGTAGCTTGTTCTAACTCTTACCTTTATCTTTTTTTTCACCTTCCTTGCTCAGATATGTGATCTTAATTTTTTTTTTTTAAAGACTGGCAATGTATGGAGAGATTTTAAAAGGTAAGCAATGCATGTGAGTATTCACTGTCTGAACTCCCCAAACTTCTAAAAAAGKGCAGCTTGCCTTCTCTATCTTAGCTTCCTCTGCTCTCTGGCTGCTGACAAGCCTTCCTCAAGCACAGAGCACTTGTGGCTTGACAGACTTCTTTCATAGTAGCGCCCAAATCCCTACTACTGGTGTGGGATTTAGGAGAGGAGGAGGTGTGGAAGGGCCTTCATCTCACAGGCARCATTCTCCATCTCCTTCCCCTATTAAACTCACTGCTACTCTTTTTGGCAGCAGCCACCGAGGAGCTCCAGCTGGGAGCCCCTTCCTTTGCGTTTAAGGTACATGGAGGAAAAATGGAGCCCCGTAGTTGGCAGGGTGGGTTGGTGCCATATGYTAAAACTTCCTGGAGTATAATTAGCAGAGTGAGGGGAGCTCCTCAGGTGCAGGCTCCTCAGTGCTCACTGACACCTACCTGGATGGCAGCAACGCGGGTGATGATGTTTCTACACAAGTATGTTAATGGTYTGTCATTTACACACAAGTGCTGAATCAGAATATGCTACACTGAAAAGATTTTCCTGAAAACATATTTACATTTCAAGAAGAAATTGCCTCTGTATTTTGAAAAACACAACAGCTGTGGCTGCCCCACTTGTGGCCATGCTCTCAGACCTTTCTTTCAATCTGCAAACCTACACTTTTTATTTTTTTTCCCAGCAGTGCAGTTTCCAGCACAGAAAATTTAAGACTGCTGACAACAGAATTGCTTTTCTTAGTTACCCTTTTTGGGCCTCTTAGATGTGGCCTGTGACCTCCTGGGACCCAAAGCTRTATTAGGACCCACAACTCTACACTGCACAACCCAGAGAAGAGCTCAGTCTCCATCAAAAGTTTAGAAGGATGGCTGTAAAATGCGACAGTTGAATTGGCTAGATTMATTGAGAAACTAAATTTACTTCCTCAAAGTTTGCACTGCAAGCGTGCCCTGAGCTTTTCCCRGGTCATGCAGACAGATAAGAATTTTTCAGAAGGATGGATAAGCAGTTTCAAGACCATAAAGAAAAAAAAACCCAGCCAACAAGGACTGAAAAAAATGGTGGGGAGCAAAGTTTTATTTTTAAATGCTCGAAGTGTGAAGGTGCTAGGTTAAAGTAAGACTGTCAAAAATACCACCAAGTGCCTAAATCCCACTGTGATGCTATCTTCTTGCAATTCTCCCATGTTCTCYTGTGTTCTTCCACATATTTTTGTTCTTGGCTAAGATACAGCCCWTCAGTCTGCAGGGAGAGAAGGTTGTTCCTTCTGTTCCTCCTTTCTTTGATGTATACTACAGACAGCTCCCCTACAGGTTGGAGGGGGTTTCTGGTGGCAACCYCCACCTGGGTTTAGCTTGAGCTTCCTGTAGGAGTAGTCCTGTCTCAAGGCAGAAGGCAGTGCCTTCAAGTCCTRTGTTAGTGTCATTCATTTGAGCATGGCTATAGAAAAAGCAAAATATTTAATTTCACACAAGTTAATGAACTCCCATTTTCAGCCCTTAGTCCTTTAAATAGCAGGACAGGAAACAGGAGTAACTTGCAACATGTGACAGAAAAGGAAAGTAGTTGCTTGGTTCTTTTATGGCCTGTTACCCTATTGAACGTGAGAATGTGTTGGGACAAACCTGATGAGGTGCTCTCTGCCACCAGGTGCCCATTAGGCTGTTTGTTTTTCCCCTATTTAAAGGTGTCATTTGCCTTATGATGGATCCTGAAAATGCCCAAGGTAACATGCACAGCACTGGCTGAGAACCCTGAGTAGAGAATTGTTATTGCAACGTCTGCCAAATGATTTGACATCTGGAAATCATCCAGTTTAAAAACATATACTTTATAAAGAAGTAATGTTCTCCAGGTTTTAGGAAGGATTTGCAATATACCACAGGGGAAAAACTCTTTTGCAAAACTAGAATGATTAAAGATTTTAGCTCAGCCTAGCAACCCTGGTGTGGAGCACCTGGCTGGGTACTCTGRTGCTAAGACTGCTGACAGCTGTGTCACTGTGTCTTTCTGTGCTCAGGAGATTGGTGATGTGTGGTACCCATGCTCAGCTACCAGAACAGATGGACCCCAGTATCTTCTTGACTTGAATTATTTCAGCAATTCAAATCCAGAATGTTATCTTTGCAATGACCCAGGACAGATTGTTTTATTGCTCTTCAGGACATGGGTAGACTTTTATATACCACTCTCCTTTTTCATAGTTTGTTTCTAACCTTCCTCACTGGAATTGAACTAAATATAAATCTGGCATGGAGGAAGGGAAAAGGGAAAGGGAAAGGGAAAGGGAAAGGGAAAGGGAAAGGGAAAGGGAAAGGGAAAAGGAAAGATATTTCAGACAAATGTGTGAAGGTACAACTTAAAGACTGCTTTAAACTGCTTCCAGGTCTCAATCTTAGCCAAAATAATTTCTCAGTATACTATGGGGGAGACATGAGAAATGAGAATTGTCATACATACAAAAAATCAATGTGGAGGATCCTAGGATTTTGTGTCACTTCAGCCACTGAGGAACAAATATTGATGGAATGGTGCTTTGCTGTGCTGTAGGCTCAGGGCAGATGGATTTCCCAAGATATACACACACACATAAATCAATAGGAAAATTGACATCATATGTTAATGAGCAACCRCTTACACTGCAAATAATGTTTTGARGCCAYGCATCTGCCACTCGTAAACAAGACATTTCGCTGATCCAAAGCACATAAAACAAGGCAGCAACAGCTTTTCTCTCTGAAGAGCTGGAACCAGAGCTGTGCCAGTGCTGGTATAAAACCTGCAATCTAATAATTAAACCAGGTATTGCAGTGCATATTCAGATTCAGGWAAGGCTTATATTACTTTATGGTTAGTAACACTAATAATAACTCTTACTATGACGAAGTTTTTGTTTTTAAAGACACAGATCCTCCTACTTCAGCATGCAGATTAATCTCTTCCTGCAAGTAACAGTAACCCAGACTGAATGAGACTGTAGTACATGAAACATTATTTTGGATAAGTGGCCCCCAGATATAATCTCTTCCTAAACCCATCTGCATGTGTAAGATTGTACTCTGATTACACTGATGAGAATGGTCTTCCCAGGAAGGGCCAGGCAGCTATCACAGGCTGCTGTAGCAATTTATACACGTTTTCTTACCAGCATCCTGAGCAGCCCGCTCTGCCTAGATAAGGAGTTTGATGCTAAATTCAACCTTCCTGTCTCTGGTAACTGCTCCCCTTTTCCTGTGAATGCTGTTTACATCAGGGCAGTCAGGACACAGAATTCTGAGCATACTCAGATTGCTGACTATCCCAAAGCTCCTAGAYGAAAGATGCATGCTCACCATCACATCTATTGCAATGTCTTGGAGTAAGGCCATATAGCTTCCTTTAAACAGAGATTGAAAAATTCTGTGGATGCTTTAAAAATACCCTATTATCATTCAAGAGTGACAATTTTTTTTCCCCTCAACATGCAATCACATTTTTTAAGCAGAGGRATTTAAGGAGCTACAATGAGCTACTAAGGAGCTACAATATTAAGTGCTGGTTTGACTGGTGAAAATGCCTTTTCTCTTCGCTTCTTCCCAGTTCTTTAGCAAAAAGCTCTGAAGCTGCAAGGATTGCAGTTTCACTAAACTCTCTTAAAAATCTTCAATGTTTTTTGCTTATATTTGAGTAACAGTTATAAACCACTAAGARATTTTTACAAGCCCTGAATATCTTAGCTCTTATATGTAAGTATAATATCTATGTTAGCTGGTATCTCTAAAACCTGTCAACAGGATACAGGTTTCAAAATACTGCAGGAAACCCTGAAGGAAGTGATGGGGASACGGATTCACCCCAATCTTCTGGGCCAGCCTTTGTAATTGCAATCATAAAAGATTCCTACAAAGGACACCTCTCATGTGRAGTTTTGTCCTTGCTTTTGGCAAATAGTGGGTATTTGAACTTCTCCCTGCAGGCCTGCCATTTTTACTTCTTCCACTTATATGTGTCTTTAGTTTAGAAACAAATAAAAGCCAAAGGCTTATTTCTTGTCTTAAAAAAAGTTTTAACAAAACTTTTTTACATGAAACCTCTCACAGTGTGCTACTGAGCCTTGCTTGTTCGTATCTGCTCTATGAAACATTTCATTCAGTTGTTTCTCCTATTAGAGGAAATCAAGTAAAGGATGAAGTGTTACAGAGATCACTCACCTATGGTGCAACTAGGCTAAATTTAGATGATACCCCCTATTTCATCAGTTAAATAAACAAACTTTAGTTTCATGGCTTAGAGATGTTTGTGCTTCTCGTTAAAAGTACCTTGTCACTTCTGCAGAAACAGACACAACTCCACTGGTTATTGAAATAATATTTATTTCCATCCACTTTAAATCTGCTTTGTACACTCAGATTTTCTGGATTCTCAAAGAACCAGAAGAGACTTCAGAGAGTGAGAGTTCACCAACCCCAGCCGTGGCTCATGGATGATGGACTGCAGGATGTAGGTCTTTGCATGATTCTCATGCTGCATCTCAGGCTGCTCTGCAGCATCTCTGCTCCACATCGCTTTCCTACACAGATGGGAACAACTTTTTTTTTTTTTTGTATTTCTAGATTTTGGACTTTTACTATTTCCTTTTAAAGAGCTGTCACCTTGGGTGATATTTTATATACATTTTCATATTGAACACTAGAAGATCCTAACATATGCAACTTCTACTTGCCAAAATTATTTAACATTTTCAGAGAAAATGGGTGAAAAAAATCCTGAGGCAATTCAGGTTTTCTACTGATGTTATTGGAGGATAAACATACATATCTACATATGCACAAACATACAGAGTTTTTTATGCTTCTTTAGGTGACAATAAAAGATTTAATCTACTTCAGTATTGGTCAAGACCACCTGAAGACCATTTGGACGAATTGATACAAAAATCAAATGGAATTGCTACAGATGTGGCTACCCCACTTACAATGACACTAGTAGGAGACAAATGAAACAATCCCCAGTCCACTGAATGTAAAACATTACAGAAAAATACAGAAGTATGAACTTCTATTAGTGAAGCAGAAGCCTAAACTCCAATACTCAGCGGTGCTGCTCTGCCCTCTGCAGACTGGATTGTGTAATCACATACTAACCCTGATCACGCACTTTCAAAGCACATCTAACTCCATAGAAAAAACGTTATCAAAGTGAATGAAACACACATAAACACCACTGTGACACTGCAAGCCCTAAATAAATCAGGAATACTCTTGAGGCAGTGGTTGGTTTCTCAGTATCCTCACTSAGTCCACACTGCCAAATAAGTTGGGGTAATAATTATTGCCTGAATAGCACCAATGCCTAAAATCCAAATTCAGAATGAGGTACAGGAAATATTTATGTGTGTTACCCTAATGTAAGCCACACAGCATTTCTTGATGGTGAAGAAACAAGTTTCAACTCCCACACACAGAGCAATCCTCCCTGGTACTGCAAACGGTTTTCTACAGCAGGACCCAGGACACACGGATCACAGCTTGAGTGATACACCAGGGTACAGCACCCCACTCTGCAAGATGTTTAGCTATATGCCACCCTGCACAGCRCCTGCCTCCAKCTTTTATCCCTGGTAAACATCCAAGAAATGTGGCAAATGCATCCATCTTTATGAACCCTCTATAATTTCATGCGTTCTCCTCATGTTTTATCTGGTAAAGAATGTTAAAGCTTATTTCATTCTCTGCTCTTTGCTGCATCCCCACTGATATGCAAAAACACACACAACAGTACTTATTGCTTCTTATGAGATGGACAATGTTTTTGTACTAAGGGCATCTCATAACCCTTTTGACAGAAAACATTTTTACAAGGTTTCTCTTGGATAGGAACAATGCAATAGAATTTACACAACATACAATTCAGATTTGTTCCAATTTTACRTTTTATTAAGTGCTGACATTTGAAAAATTCTCTCAAAGCATATAAGCCAAACCCTAGGCATCAGATGTGGCCCTCACAAATGAGCATCACCTGATGTTTCTTTACTCCACTTGCCACCTGTCTGCAGTTATCAGGTGTCACTCCACAGACAGAATGCCAGGTCTTCTGAAAAAAGAGCCTGGCAGGAAGAAAAATTTGCCTGTGCAGCTCCCAACACAGCAGTTCTTGCATTGTGTGACTATCACATGTGCTCATTACATGACAATACTCACAAGTCAGGAAACAAGAGAAGTGGCAGTCTTTCAGCAAGTGGCAGCATTTGCAGAATATCTTCAATACAAAACTAAAATAGGTGTTTGGAAAAAAAATCTTTGATATAATAGAGTGCCAACCTTGCAGTATATAATGTTATGCTTTTGCAAGTTAAATTTAATAGCAGGTCAAGATCCTCAATAACGACTCTTCTGAGATATATTCATTCTCCATAGTTTGCAGGTAAAACAAGTGAAATATAGTCAGAGTAGCATATTAAAATTTGATGTTAATCTCATTTTGTCATCTTTCATTGTTWTTGGTTTTTTGAGGGATCTGCTGCAGACAATGGGACAGGCTAGAAAATTTCCAAGCATATCACTAAGCAAAATAAAAGCTTCAAATTTTCACCTTGCCCATTTCACAAATGGATATGGTATTGTTATTCCAAAGCAAAAAATAGGAGGAAAACAATGGTCACATTTATACTTAGCAACACTGTTCTCCAGYATTTCCATTTGACAACAGCTGAATTGCATTCTTAAACAGAATTCTTTACATATWCTTAAACAGAATTCTCCACATAATGCCTGCTATCTCAGATAACTGACATAGAAGTATCACTAAGGATCTGGGCTACATCTTGAAAACCTTGTACAATCTGACAATACCTTTGTCAAATGAACATTCAAGCTCTAGTTTTACCTTTCTTTACATTCTTTTCATCCAAGAACTTTGGAGCGGTTTGTAACATCTGACAAAAGCAAAGGAATCTTAATATTGCTCCTCCTTCCAACAAAATAATTGTATCYAATGACATAGCAATTATTCCCAAATCTAAAAATATGCTAAATTCTGTAATGAAGGTCAGTACCAGAAGCACTATTTTAGTACCTGTTTACAACCTSCCTTAGCCAAAAAGCCATCATATCCCACCACTCTGACCAAGGCCAGAAACAAGTTAAGCACACTTGAATAAACCTGATTATTTCAGGGGAATGTTCAGGGTGTAGGAAACATGCTCCTTCTCCCAGTCACATAGGACTTGATCTCATGAATTGAGATGGGAATTAGGATTTTCCACATTTTCTGCTCTCAAGTTGGAAATCCAGCTTATTCCGACACTGTGGCACAAGTTCCAGTACAACTCCAGCCAAAACTACTGTGGAACTACTTGATCATGAGCTCCAAATAGCTGTGGAACAGACAATCTGAGGCAACACAGTGTTTTTTGAAATGCGTTCTTCAAGAAGAATGGAAAGTACGTTTCTTCTTCCCCAGAGCTTGTTTACTACTGTTGGGTTCTTCTCTTAGGCTCAGCACTGATGCTTTGTAGGCATGAAAGGCGCTTCGGCCCACCAGAAGAAAACCCAGGAACACTCACTGCGTACAGCCCAGACGCAGGCTACATCTTCACAAAGGCCAGAAAGGCAAGCAGAGCTCTTCTAGGAGCTCACTGAGAATTAGCCAACTGGTCTCTGGTCCTGAACCTGCAGTTTTGGACTCCAGCAGCTGGAACTTCAGCATGAAACACTAAATTCACTAAAAACAACACATGACCCTAAGTATGTCTATACCATTTTGCCAAGCAGTACCGCTCCACAGCGAACTCACCTCTGATGCTACAGCAAGACTGCATGGGGCACTGGAAGGTGCAGTCTGGAGGATGAGAGAAGCACTGCCAGGCTTCCCAGGCACACTGTTGGACCCTTGACAGTTCTAAAACAAGTACTTGTGGTAAGGACAAGGTAAGCAGGGTGCAGTGCACATTATGCCATGGTCACCACTGAGATCTGCTCTTTCAGAATTCAACAGATTGAGGAGTCACCTCTATAAGAAAGACCATGCAACTGTTTTGGAAAAGCTTGGAAATAGAACGAATGTACAGATTAGAACAATGAACAAAACTTTGGAGAAAGGGAAATGACTCTGTATAGCTAGAGTTGCTAAAAGTAAGTAATTCTGAATTTATCTGWACAGATACACATACTGCATAGCAGAAATACTGACAGACTTCCCGTTTTTAGATATTTTTCAATGTAGTAAATGGCAGGTCTGGTTATCCCTTCCTCTCTCTCCCCCTGCACAAAACTCAAATCTATCTTCTGTATTATTTATACATAATGAAAAGAAAAAGGTCATAAACTATAGTGACATTGACAGTAAGCAAGACAATTTACCAAGTAACARTGTTACTGAGGGGAGTTGAAAAAGGACAGTTGCACTTTCTGAATACACAATATTTTAAAGAGCAGCTGAAGTGAAAGCTAAGTGAAACTAAAAAAAAAATCTCAATTTGAACATCTGTGGGGATCTATGTTTTCTCAGTCTTAACAGTCTGACCCTTTTCCCCTTGAAAATACTGATAGAAGAATCACCCTTAGATACCTTTCAGAATCCCTTTAAAACTGCATATTTAACAATTGCACAGTAACTTCTTCATCTCTTGTTCACGGAGCACTGAAGAGAAGTTCGAGAAATTCACTGTGATAGAGGTCCTTAGTCAGTAGAATGTGCTCTGAAGAACACAGTAGCAGCTGGAGGAAAATTTTCAGCACCTGCAGTTTTTGGCTACTGGTGGCTAAAAGGAAATAAAGTTTTGGAGTGTGCTGAAGCCTTTGAGGCTCACAGTMATTTTCAAAGAGATAAACAACCACTTGCTCATTAACAGCTAAGAACAAAGCAGAAGAGGAAGATTAATTTCTGTGCAGAAATTCACATGCTGGTGTGTCACGGCTGCTTCCCAACCCACCATTTTGAATCCAGGATTTTGCAGACATGGGAAATAARGATCTCTGCTAGATATGAGGGACAGTCTCCAGGTGCTTTGCCCATGCGCAAGTCTGTTATTTCCTCTTCAATTCTTTAATACTACTGAGTATGAGCTTTAACTTCATTTAGCTTCCAGAAAATCTCCAAGTTGGTTGTTTCTTCTAATAATTCAACTCCCCACACTGCTTGCAAGACAGTTGAATTATAAAAAAAAAAAGGTTTCAGGTTGAAATCTGGGTGTTAAAATCTATTTCTAGATATAAATATTCAATATTCCATCAGTTCTCAGAAAACTGGGTAGGAAAAAAATTGAATTTAAGACCCATTTCCACACAAGTGGGTATCCCACACAAGAAGCCTTCACTCTCTGTGTTTACCACAAACCCACCGAAGCTGCTGCTCTGTTTGGAGCTCAGTTAATTCATGAATGGATCTCCAGCTGCACTGACAGGCATATGCTCGTGCTCCTTTCTTCTTTATCATCTTTGCTCTYAGTTTACTGAACTCAGGCATGTTATTCCTGCCAAAGAAGAGAATTCATCTTAGGATTATGATTTTCTTTTTTTTAAAGCAAAAAAAAATCATGTGGCCATTTCAAATAAAAAAATACCTTAAGGACATTTCTGAGTACCACTGACATGAATGAATTTAGGGATGTATTTAAATTCTGTTTTGAACACGATCCTTTCCTGAGAGCAGTCTCAGTGTGCAGTTGCCGTGTCTCCAAATCAACTACAGACTGCTGTTTTTGTAAGCAACATTCTGTGTTGGCTTTAGAGACTTCCAGTCAGCCTCCACAGAAAGAATTGGGAAGAAAACAAAGCAGAGTTAATTCCTGTKTTAGGAAATTATCCAAAAATGTATTTATCGTATCAATCTTATTATAAAAATTGCTATGCATAATGGGTGCAAGTACAGAGTAAACTTTTCATTAGGAACTGTTACTCAAGATGATTGTTAAAGTGACTGAAATGAAATGGCCATAAAAAGGTAGACTATACATCAAACCAGAAATAATTCCTGTGCAGCCATTAACCACAACAAATGAAAAGTCAGCATGGCTATGACAAAAACAAATAGTTTCAAATAAACCAAGTGAAAATGCAGCATTTTGGTTATCTCTGCTCTCCTGACCTCCTCATGGTCATCAATTACTGGACATTGAATTGCTCAAAAACAACATTAACAATTGCTCAAAAACAAAATTAACAATTGCTCAAAAACAACATTAAAGAAAACCCAAAACAACTATCAAAGCAAGAAGTTTTAGAAAAAGAGATCAGACACCTATTGATGAAAGGAAAATGCTTAATCCTAAAGTTTGCCTTCTAAAGTCCAGCTTTGTCAAAAKAAACAGCTAAATACCTTGCTAAAGRTTACAGATTTTAGTCAATGTTACAAGTATCTGATACTAATGCTGCTTATGTATTTTTTTTGTTCGATTTATTAATATCAAGATGTAAGAAGCAAAATAATTTAGACTTTGGGTAAATAAAAGAATCCTACTTTTGTTTAGTACCAAACTCATTTTAGGAGACTATTGCAGCATAGTATTTTTAAAGCTGTTTTAAATAATGGGAAAAATAATGGCATTCAAAGAGAAACACAAATTTTGAGGCTGAAAGAAAAATACAGAAATAACCAAAGATGTAATACAGAAAAATAAAGGAAAAGAAGGTGATGTCTCCATTACTGTTCTACTCTGGCTGTCACACCCCTCWCTGTCCAAGCACATACTTGAACACRTCCACCTCTTCTATCAGTCAACAGGCACACACAGATACTGGACTAAAATAAGAGGAATACAAATTYGATGCCTGTATTAGGTCCAACTACAGGACCTTTCACTAAGTCTTGGCATTAGCCTTAGAGAAACTGAAAGTAAGAACTCCTTGATTTTAAGTCTTTGAAATTATTTAAAGAATTAAAGACATCACAAGGTARGAAGAAAAAAAAATCTCACCTCTCCATTTAACCAAACTTTGCTTCAAGAAATAAATCTGTCAAGAAATAAAACTACTTGGTTTTTCACTGAATGTAACAGCATACTTGATCCTGATAAAAAGAACATCTGACTTGAACCATCACAGTCCATGACTGAAGGTGAGGTGCAAAGCACATGCTGAACAGACTGCAGTCATGTTGTAGATGTTGTAGACACCCTGCACTGGTTGGCAGAGCCAACCCATTACATAGAWTAGCTGCTTATTTCAGCAACAAGGTGGCCTTTTGATCCATGAAACTTGAATTCTTTTTAAAAGCAGAGGGAGAATCATGGAGGAAGAGACGGAAATGGATGAAAACAGATTACGGGAGATGTTGCTTCACCCTCCCCACAGACTTTCCCACCTGATCCTAAACAGGTAGCACACGATTCCTTTTAGATGACACRGCAGTGCTAGGGACTTTTAATGTTTCCTGTTTTTATTGAGCCCCAAAGCACATTAACACAATACTAATACCAAACTCAGCCCAGACATACCTGAAAAAAAGATAATCACAGGACTGATCCCAGACATAGTCATTGAAAAATGACACACGGAAGTCACAAGCAGTACAACGCAGTTGATCACATGTTCTGGACAAAGAAGAAAAAACAATCAGAGAAGCTGACTGATTAAATACATAGATCATAACTTGTTTAAAGTACAGCACTCACTCAGAAATRCTAGGTGCAACATTACCTAATCTTAATGCTTTTACATAACTGGCATGTTCAGAATTATGGTACGTGATTTACTTATATGATCATTATTATTTTTATAGGTTTATATCCTCACTGAATACATAAAATAAACTGATATTCTCTTGATACATTCTCTTTMGTCTTCCTCACTGGTGCAGCACCTGACCAACACCCAAATATCCATYGAGTACATAATTGCTTTCTACAAAAAATGCCACAAGGAAATGCAATAATGTTCTATAGCATGTTGTGGATGAATCTTCAAAGTGCCTATCCTGCTAAATTCCGTTGCAAYTGCAAAGCACTCTATTTTTGGTTCAGGTTCTGGGATGATTTAAGCCAGCCCACTGATTTAAGTCACATACTTGGCATCACATAGAAAGATGACGAGAGGCAGGGAAAAATAACAACACAGCAATTTACTTAACTACTTGCTACTGATTTTTGGTTTCATGTCTCATTTGCAAGCATCTTTCAACATCTCAAACAAACAAAAGCTCTAGTGCTCAACAACAGAGGACTGGAAGGGACCAGCCGATCTCAACTGCAGTTACAGGCAGCCACTTCTTTAGATGACTAAAAGGCTGTGCTGCCCAGTTCAAATGCAGAATTTTGTACCACCACGGAAACACAGCTGTGAATAAAAATAATGATAAAACAAGCAGCACATATTTTTTCAGGTTTCCTACCTTTTTGAAATATTTGTTCCTATTCCAGGTGGAGAAAGGCTTCCACCCAGGTACACTGGACAGCATCTATATGGATTCATAAAAAAAAATGAAATTATAGCAAATCAGGTTGGAGAAAGCAGTAAAATGTTTCTCCTATTAACAGCTATTTATAAAAAAAATATTTACTAAATACAGGCAAAGCATCCAAATGCTTGTAAACTACAGAATTTTAAAATTTTCATTACCAAAGTGTTTGAAGAAAAACTCTATGAAAATCACTCTGTGCCAAAAATACAAGTGTCTTTATATTGCAGCATTTGATAAATGTGTATGTCCATATGACAAAGGAAGATGTTGTTCAATAATTTAAATATTAAATTTATAATAAATAACTTTGAAATCTTCAAAATTATGTTTATCTTAGTTTTTCTTTAAAAAGCATGTTTCTCTTCTCAGTGTCTTTCTTAGGTAGTGTCAAAAGATTAAACAGCAGAAATATTATTAGACCAGTAAGTTATAATCAAGCTATGTCCAACAAGCCCAAACATTTTTCACTTACCTTTTCCCATGTGCCTGTAAAAGAACTTGATTTCTTTCAGGTGTGAGACTTGCAGAGTTAGACTTCAATTTCTGTTAAAAAAMCCCAAGAAATAAAATGCAGCACTACAGCAAAGTATCAATATTCTGTTTTACTTAATAAGCAGGAGCCACAAAATCTCAGTTAACAGAAGAAGTGGACTAAATTTGGGAATTTTCTTGTTCAGATTTGTGAGGCTCTGAAGTAACAGGTAAGCAAGGAACAAYGCTTCTCTTCCCATACTGAATTTCCAGCTCTGTCTGAAGGAATTCCACACCACATAATCACTTTGACTTTATGATCAAAACTTAGTATTTCATGCCCTCCTTTTAATAATTTTGCTTTTAAAGCCAGTTATAATTTGGAATCCTCTTCCTCAATGTTTTTGAGCTTTTATTTTATTAAAACCATTATTCAAAAAGAGTCTTTGAAAAGTTTATTTGCTGCACACAGAAAAGTTTATTTGAATTCTGGAATATTGGAACTCTAGATCCTAAATWGGAAGTTCTAGGGATATAAAATGAAAAAAAAATTATACAAATTTACTGACTTAATTCTCTCTCCCTAAGATGTATACAAGTATTTTTTGTTGGTTCAGATTAAGCCACTCCGTAAAAACTCAAAGACAAACAAAACAAAACCAATGTCACTTGTGAAAACAAAGAGAATCTGCACAGGRGATTATGAAGTATAAGTAACACCATTTTCTACTGCTGATACCCRAACGAGTATCTATTTTCAATGCCTTCTATCATTCTAACTGTCCTGAGAATGTAAATTTGTGCTTCATCTCCATCTCCTGCTGTGAAAAGAGACGTCACTTGTAGAGGATACAAAAGGGGGAGCAGTGGTTGGTGTGTCAGATGACTGCATTGCCATTAAGAGGGACCTCAAATGACTTGCAGAAATGGGCTGAGAGGAATCTCTTCAAGTTCAGCTAAGGGGAAATGCAAACTCCTGCCCACAGGGAGGAATAATCCTTATGCACAGAACACTRTGTGCGCTGACCAGCCGGAAAGCAGCTTTGCAGAGAAGGCTGTGGGGAATTCAGTCAATAACAAGTTGACTGTGAGCCAGCAGTGTGCCCTTTCAGCACAGAGGGCCAGCAGTATCCTGGGCTACATTAGGAGGGGTATTTCCAGCATGTCCAAGCAGGGAGGTAATCCCTTCTCTCTACTCAGAGCTGGTGAGACAGAATCACAGAATCATTTCAGCTGTAAGGGACCTTCCCYTGCTCAAAGCAGGGTCAGTTTCAGCAACTTGCCAAAGACTGTGTCCAGCTGCATTTTGAATACCTCCAGACTGAGACCTCACAACTTCTCTGTGAAGACTGAACCTGTGCTTGACCATCCTCACAGTAAAAAAAGTCTTTTCTTGCATACAGATGGAATTTTGTGTTTCAGCATATTCCCATTGCCTCTTGTCCTGTCACTGGRCACTACAAAGGAGAGTCTGGCCCCTTCTTTACTACACCCATAAGTATTTATACAYATTGGTAAGGTCCCCCTAAGGTCTTTTCTCCAAACTGAACAGTCACAGATCTCTCAGCTGCTCCTCATATGACAAACATTCCAGTCTCTTTAAACACCTTCATGGGTCTTTGCTGGAGGTTCTCCAGTAGCTCCATCTTTCTCTTGTATTTGAGAGACCAGAAYGGGACACAATACTTCAGATCTGACCTTGTAGACATGTCTGGAGCAGTATGTCCAGTACAAAAAAGGCATGGATATAATGGAGAGGGCCCGGGAAAGGACTATGAAGGTCATTAAGGATTTAGACCATCTGTCATCCAGGCATAAGCTAAGAGAGTTGGAATTGTTTAGCCTGGAGAAAACAATGGTCAGGAGAACCTTATGAAGGTTTTTCAGGGAAGAATAAAAAAGATACAGCCAGACCTTCTCAGTGGGGCTCACTGACAGGAGAGGCAATGAGCCCAAACTGAAGTATTTTCACTTAAATATATGAAAAAATTTATGACCTGTGAGAGTGGTCAAACACTGGAATGGGCTACTAAGAGAGGCTGCAGTCTCYATCCTTGGGGGTAATCAAAGGTCTTTGGGACACAGTCCTGGGCAATGGGCTCTAGGCAGTCCTGCTCAAGCAGGTGGTTGGACCAGATTATCTCCAGAGGTTCCTCTTCCAACTGCTACCATTCTGTGATTCTGAGCATTGMCACTATGCTCTATGTTGTACTAGAATTTCCTTTAATTACCTGTTACTGCGCAGGTAAGAACATCTCTTTATATCTCTCTCTCCTGTTCCTCACTACAAGACTACTGCATTTTCCCGTCTACTTTATTTTCCAAGTTTATTCTACACCTTGTTTTCATTCATGTTTTGCTTTAAAAGTTTTAGCTTATGGTGCTTTTATTTCCATTGTTGAACCTGACTTGTTCTGCATTTTTCCAAACYCCTACTCACCGGAGCTGTTTTGGTAAAGCTGCTGTCATTACAGATTTCATCAATAATGTCATCTAGGTCTTCTTCACTGCTGCCAGCACTCATTAATGGTTTAGCTGATCTGAAAAACAAATAGATCAGCCTTCAATTGTRTAGCAAGACCACAGCAGTTCTAAGAATTGTAAGTTCAAAAATATAAAGTTACAGTCTTTTTCCTCTAATATTTTGTAGTATCTCTGGTAGGCCATCCAAATCATGACTGAACAGATCAAAACTGCAAGATCCCTGTTAAAAAGTCCCATCATAGGTCTTATTTTCGCTTGCTTCTTTGTATTTCCAGCCACTTCCAACCCTGAATAAAACTATGACAGTAAAACCCATGCTGCACTTACTAGGCAACTAACTGGACAATCCTGATTTTTCATATTCAGCTTCAGCAGCAGGAACACAAAAAGGTCAGAGGAAGGTCTCTACCCAAGTTATACCCAAGTACCCCCAATTGCAGGGGTTCTAAAGAGAATTCTAGCTGAACTGGATGCATTTAGGAAGATCACCTGCACTTTGCATTCACTCAAGTAACACTCAAGTCTGCTGTTTGCTAGCTCTGTGTCAAAGAGAGGGCTGTAGTATGGATGCATTAACCAATCAAGAAAAAATTTACTCCTGAGAAAGAAGAAAACTGATTTTTTAAAAAAAAGATTGCAATTACGTTGACTAAAATTAAGTGCTCATCTAATCATTACGCAAACAACGTGGAAGTCCAGTAATGTGGCCAAAGGTAATGGTCTTGCTGGTCTTGCTTTAATCATTGGGCTCCTCAAGATCCCTTCCTGGGACTCCAAAATGTGTGCTGWGTAAGCGTTCAGCAGCCCACCTGTGGAGACATCTGGCCAAGCCTCTCTGCTCCACAGACCTTCCAAAGGGAGTCTCTGAGGGCCAGGATGRAAACCTGATGGTCAGGATGGAAACCCAAGGGCAGGCAAAGGTGCCTGTCAGGGACCAGATGAAAACCTGAGGGCAAGCAAAGACATCAGTGAGGGCCAGGWTGGAAACCTGAKGKCYRGGATGGAAACCTGATGTCTGGGATGGAAACCTGATGTCTGGGATGGAAGCCTGAGGGGAGGCAGGGATGTGAGACACCAAATGCTTGGCAGTGCTGTCAGCAATGACCCTGTCAGGGCCAAACCTGCTGGTATTCATATCACCACTCCGAAAACTGTGGGCTGCAGAGTGTAACTYAAGCGCTTACTGTAGCAGATACGGCTAATGAAGTATAAACAGAACAAAGAGACCTGAGGGAACAGCATGAAGCTGTGTCAGGGGAGGTTTAGGTTGGGTACTAGGARAAGTTCCTCACCCCAGGGTGGCTGGGCACTGGAACAGGCTCCACAGGTAAGTGGTCACAACACCAAGGCTGGCAGAACCGTTCAAAAACCATTTGGACAATGTTCCCAGGCCCCACAGTGTGACTCGTGGGTATCCTGGGCAGGGCCAGGAGTTGGACTTCAATAATCCTTGTGGGTTCCTTCCAACTCAGAATATTCTGTGATTTCTGTGAAATGACTTAAAGTATCAAGAGAATAAAAACTTTGATAATGCTATAGCTAAAGTTCTTCCWGGTCTAAATCGTAAGATTTATAGATATTTGAAGTCAGTTATATACAGAGAGCTATCATGACGTAAGTTACAGAGCCAAGTAATCCCCAGCGTTAAAGCAGAGGCGAATTAGTGCAGCTTTAAACGCCATATTTAATCCGAGGTTGCGGTATTCGCAAAAGACAAAGACGGTCTKAAGTAACTAAACTCGCTGGCACACGATTTGTGTCTTTAAAAAACAAGGGCTGCAGATGACAGTCGCCGACCGCCGGCCCGGTTCCGGCTCCTGAACCCGCGTGTTTTGGGTTCCCGAGAGGTCTGGCCGCACGGGGCAGGCGGGGACGGGCTGCGCGCACCCAGGCGGCCCCTCGCTCAGCGGGCAGGTTTGTGAGGGCGGCGGGACCGCGGCGGGACCGCTAACCTGCCCTCCTTGGCCGCCGCGGGCTCCTCCTCGCCGCCGCCGTGCCGGTGGCACAGCCGCCKCTCCACCTCGTCCAGCAGCCGGTCCAGCTCGTCCGCCATCTTGCCGCCCGGCGGTTGCCAAGGCGGCCCCGGCAGGGGCGGGGACTGAGGCCCGCCCGGGGTCGGGGAGGCTGTGGCGCTCCTGCGGGGCTCGGCCGCGGCTGCGCCCCCGCCACGCCGCTCCCGGGATTCGGCAGTGA